ATAAAGATCAGAAATTCCCTCTCCCACGCTTCAATGCATTGTTTATTTTGTTTCGGAAAAGTGTTTCGCTATGCTTTAATGACCTTGTCTCAGACTGGTAAAAAACTGACAGGTGAATCCATGCGTTGAAATGAAGTTAGAGTTGCGAAATGAGATGAAACCACAGGTTGTTTTGCTTTCCTTTTCTCTGGGTTCTTTCTCGGGAGTTAAAAAATCCATTCCCAAAGAAAAAGTAGGCAGATCTTCATCGGTTTGTTCGCTTGTTGCGCCATGTCTAGTTTAACTTTTTTGGGGAAGTTTTTCCCGTTTTTTTTTGTTTTTTGTTTTTTTTGTTTTATGAAAAATGCTGAAGTCACTCGAGAGAAATTTTTTTTTTTCGCGAAGCATTTGTTTGCTGACCTCGCCAGCGTGCACAATGGAAAATTGAAGTACACTCGCGCAATTGAATTTGATCGCACCAATTTACAAATTATGTTATAATTGTACTCGTGTTTGGTGTGGATGCCAAGGCTATAAAAGAAGCCAGAGTGAACGCTCCTCGAGCGTCTAGTTATTTTAGAACTGCTGAAATTACACCAAATCTTCATACGCTTTTTGTTTCTCGCTTTTTGTCCATATTTTGAAGACAATAATTAAGGCAGCGGACAATGCAAAACGTCGAGCGCTAACTATACGGAACGCAAATGGATGTTTTTTTTTTCATTATTTCCTTCCTAGGCGTTAGAGAAAACTGTTTGTGAATTATTTTGACCCCATAGCTCAAATTATTATTATTATTATTGTCGCAGAGATTAATATTATTAATTAATGTTATTAATATTATTTATTGCTTATTATTATTTATTACTATTATTATTTATTATTTATTATCAATATTATCATTATTATAATTATTATTATTATTATGCAGCAGTTTACAACTTTTGTATGCTATATACAGTAAGAATAGTATGACGGGGGCGCATGAGCGTAGCCCGTTAACTATAGTGAAATAAAAATCTTGTTATTATTATTATTATTATTATTATTATTATTATTATTATTATTATTATTATTATTCCTGTTGTCCGACGAGCGGCAAAAATTCAAGACGATATGGCAATACGTCAGCTGAGGCAGTGTGGCAGACTTGTATGTAATAAGTTTAATACCATACTTTAGAACTATTTAACCTTTCTCAGTGCTTTTCTCACACAATGTTTTTCTTTGGTAGGCACTCTAGATATCTCCTTTTAATGCCCGGATTGTTGTGAGTTGTGATTTTGTTGCCGTTGTATAGAGCATGTTGAGTGACTTTACATTTACAGTTAATAAAATTGGGTCTATTTCACAATGAAATGTTGCTCTGTGGAAAGGAAGAAACCACCACCCTTGATCGCGATCGGTACACTGCTGCAACCCCACACACATCAGTGCACGATCTCGAGCCCGAAGTCTTTTCGGCTATTTATCAGCGGTTAGTCGAGGGAGATTTAAAAAGCGCAGGTCACTTGCAGTATCGAAAGAATCGATTCTCCTCTGTAGTATCGTTATTTTTTGATCCGACCTCGGCATCGCTGGTAGCGAATATCGGCCCATCCTTAGGGAGAAGACTTTGAGAATTTGAAACAACCTTTCAACATGGATGAGAAGACTTTCAAAGTTATCCTGAGTCAAAGACGATAATCAATGGCGACTAAATTCGAACCCGATCATTTCGGCCTTTTATGCCACCTGGTAACTTTCTCAGATTGGCATCGTCCAAATTTTGGACGGTTTGAATTTGAACCAACTGAAGATGCTCTTCGAAAAATACTTCCTTGGGAAACCAGTTTTATTATTGAGCGCAGTGGAAGTTTAGAGGAAAGACTGTATTTACTAAGCATGGAAGTGGCCGAGGAAAACGAAGCCGGAAGTAGCCTTCGATATCGATATGGAACAGATCTTGACGTGATGTTTCTGCCACAACTAGCTATAATCAAGGAAATTACCGTGTCTGATGAGGAAGAAAACAGTGCAGATGAATCAATTAGCGATGTTGTTGCTTTTATTGAGAATGCAAAAGAACCAAGGTACGTAAAACTCCGTGTCAATACCGCTTGCCGTTGGAGTTTACCCGATGATGTTTTAGAAAGTAAAGGTGACTGTGTTTACGTATCAAGCTCTAAATTTTGCGACGTATTTCGGAAGAACTTGAACCAAGTTCAAGAAGTTGCAAAAGCAGCTGGACCTTCCCTGTTAGTCACAGAGCATCTGGTTCAGGAAGCCGGCATCAGCATGGAAAGTGTGGATCTTGTCTTTGCTTTCCGTTGTCCTAATTGGCCTTCTGTTGCTGATGAATGGGCGAAGAGAAAACGGAACTGGCCACAACCGGAAATCGTGCAGATGATTTTTCATCAAGGTTGTGCTGCGGTTGCAAAAGGGTTTGGAGACGCTTCCCATCTGGAATGGAGGTTGTCATTTTCTTTCGCTGAAACAGTTCTGGCACAGAATCTGAATCCAGTGCAGAGGAAATGCTATCTGGTTGTAAAAGGTCTCGTGAAAGATCTCCATTATGAGCGTATACCTTCCTACTGGGTTAAATGTGCCTTCTTCTGGTTCTTGGAGGAGGCAGATCCTGACATCTGGAACAATTTAAACCTAGGACACTGTGTGCTTGGAGTAATTGAAAGGCTTACAAAATGTCTACAGAGTTACACGTTGCCCAATTACTTTGTCATACAGAGAAATCATCTTAAAGAAATTTCTAAAGAATCTTGTGCAATCATTTCCAAGGAGTTGATGCAAATCATGCAGAAGCCTCTCTTAGCTTTAGCAAACTCCCCTAAACTTACAAAATGCATTGAGTCACTTTTAAGTCAGGCACCAGAGAAGTTTGGATATAGCACTCTTCTTGCACTTCTAAAGGAATTCCACAGCTCCCCAGATAAGAATGTTTTGAGTGATTTTCTTAAATACCACCTCTACAATCTTGGCTTAGTTTTGATGAAAAATCCCAGAACAGCTCAGAAAGGGATTGAGTACATTGAGTGTGTAGTTCAAATTTTGAAAGGGACTGGTAAGCAAACAAATGCCCATGAATTACTGTGCAATTCAATAGTTCAATGCCTAAGACGCAATGGTGATGGTGATGCTGAAGCAGCTGCTTGCCGCTTGATTTCCATGAGAAGCCTTGGATTTTCAGATCAAGAGGTAATTGCAACACTGACAAAGGCCACCAATGGTATTGATCTTCCAGCCAGTCTATTCCACGATGCTGGATGTTTCTACCATGTACAAGCATATGAAGATGATGTTACTGAACCTAATGGGGAGCTTCTAACCCATGCCGAGATGATGCTGAAAAAATCAGTGGAGTTACAGCCAACCAGTGCTTCTCATCATGTTGAGCTTAGCATGTTTTTATACAGAAATGATCGTTTTGATGAAGCTATAGAGGCTGCAAAGCAAGGTATAACTTGTAGTGAGGCCTCTAAAGTATTGAAATACCTTGGTTATGGTCGGAGCGAGGAGATCACATTGGATGGTAACCTTGGTTACCATATTCAGCGAAATGACACCATTAAAGCTCCAGCACTGATATTTGCATATTATGTCTTGGTAGCTTGTTTGGAGGAGTTGCGCAGAGAGGATGAAGCACTACAGTTTATGAACTCTTACAAAACGGCTTGTGGCGATCCTCGTAAAGAAGTTGGCGAAGATGATTCACTGGTGCTATATAATTACTCTTGTTTACTGCTCAAGTTACCTGGAGTTTGACATTGATTTAAGAGAGTTATAAACATCACTGACAGTGACACTGCGAGTATGCAATTTATTGCATTTTTCAGCTGAGTGGCAATCACAAGTAGTTTTTAGGATCACATTTCCAACCAATCACATGAAAAACTGAATTCTTTCCCAACTAGTGTGTACTCACCTATTTCAGCCTTACCCCCACCCCTCAGGAAGTTTGCTTGGTTAAGCTTTGGAATCTCTTTGCCTTGATGCAATATTTTTTTTCTGTTCTGACTGGCCATTATAATTTCTTTTGTTTTGGCTTTTAACATCACTCCCTTTAATTGGAAAGTGTACCATTGTTTATGGCAGGCGAGGTGTAACCCTTTAATCCCTAAGAATGACAAGCATCTAATTTCTCCACATCTGATACCACCCCTGGATCAAACATTAAGATCACCCAAATCATAGGAAATGATCATCACCTGAATCTCATGATAGCTAAACAAACTCTCCTTGTCAGCACCCTAGAAAACAGATGGAGAACAGTATGGAGAATTTGCATACTGATTTTAAGTGTAAAAAGATATAACCCTGCAATAGATTAGCATCCCACCCAATAGGGTCAGAGACAAGTTGGGGGAAAATCTTAGTTGCTCTTTGCCAATAACATCTGGATAAGCTCTGGCTGGAACAGCCCTATGACTTATGCACTGATGTTACCTTTCATATGATTTCTATTTTTCAGCCAGGTTTTTTTTCTGAGAGCAGTGATAACTGTGTATAAACTCAATATTTTCAATTGTTTACAAATGTGGACTCATTTCAGCCCCACGTTTTGGCATACAAAATCAAAGCAGCTGAATTCCAAGGAAGATGTAGGAACAGTAGATTAATGGGCAAATCTAATGGGCCCAATTACTGTTTTTGTGAGTTGTTTAATATGACTGTATAAATGGAAAAAGCATGGAAACTAGGGAAAAATCCTTGAGAAAGTTTATCACAGAACAGCCTGAAAAAAACTGCCTAGAAATAAAAATATTTTAATACTGGTATGCTTGGAAAAAATGCTTAATACAACAGGGAAGACGAACTGTACTTAACCTTTTTACAAGGGGAGAAATATTTGATTTATTAATTTTATTTTGACTTATTATGTCTCACACAACTGTTGTATTATTTGTCTTAAAAGTATAATTATAACTATGGTACACTTAAGTTAGCTGATAACCTCTTCCCACTTTCAGGATTAGTAATTTCAAAAGGTCCAAAGAACCTACTAGGTCCTACATGTTTCATGTACCAAACTGGTATTGAAAAAACCTTTCACCCTGTAAATTGATTGCGGTGTAAGCTCTCCTTACCATCCGTTATACATTTCTTTCAATGTTAGTTTTGAGAAGATGGCCGGTAGTAAATCAATGTTCTTTTTATCATGAGGTTGATCATTTTCTTGGGCATCGGTCCTTCTCTTATATTGGTTGTCAGCTGTGGAACAGCCTTCCTCAAGATGCCAGGGATGCCAAAAGCATTACTATTTTTAGAAATCAGTTAAGTTAAATTTGGATACTGAAGTTAATTGCAAATGCACCTTCTGTGCTTGATTCACGCCTTCTGCGTTATTTCAATGATAGATTTTATTAGTCCTTAGCCTGCAATATTTTTAGCTTGTATATTTCGGGCATATAGCATGTTTTTTGTTTTTTGTTTTTTTTTTCGATATATATTTTCTTAAATTATTTATTCATTTATCATATTATAGTTTCTAATTATATTAGTTAGTATACACGTACATTTTTTTAACGAGCATCTTTCTGTTCATCAATGTTTCATGTTTAAATAAAGTTCTACTTGCTATACTTACTTTACTCTCATTACCTTTTGGCTTATAGATGTATTGTTTTTGTAAGGAAAAATTACTCATTTTGTCTCCTAAGAGAGCAATTGAGTGTCTAAATTAAACCACAATTGCACCAGTTTTGCTTTACTTCACTTAATGAATGGTCTAGAAAATTCTGGACACCCTCTCAATCAATTAAATGCCGTAGCCTAACAACCAATTTAAGACTACGTGGGCAGCATTTTCCTGCATATCAGACAGTCTGCATGTTTTCAATTTCAGATTGCAATGCCTCTTTGTGGTTCTATCTTTTGGTATGGCAAGCACCTGTGATAACCTCAGTGTTGATTTTTATGCCTCTCGAGTGGAAAGCCCTCAAATGACTCACAATGGTTTTGGTCTGAAAGACCTCAAGCATGGTGTGCAATGGACTTAAAATCAGACTTGATATCACAGCAATTGATGATACTCTCGATCTCCATGCAAGGCCATGAAATAGTAATTTTCATGTAAACTTGTGAGGTTGCTTTTTTAAAACTTGATCATGAAGGGCCAACAGCTGCAAGTTTCTTGTGGTCCACTCCTTGCTGAATTAAATACACTTTGACCCTAAAGCTGTCCTTTTTTAGCAGCACAATGGTCACAGACTCTGACTGGGTGATCCCAACCTCTTGAAGCCACAGGTCTCCTACTTTCTGAACAGGTGCTACAGACACCCATACCACAAGCTCGGCAGTGATGTTTGGTATCACTTCCCTTGAATTCAGTTTCACAACAGTTACAGGCTAAAATTTGAGAGTCTGGTACCCAGTAGCCTGGCCTTGCTGCATCAGTGATGAACCCCTTTGGATAAACTATGGCCGTTTTTAAAACCCCCACAGCGGATTGAACAACCTCTGTTACTTTTCGGGCAGCTACTGGTCCAAATGGGTTTTCAGAATACAGACTATGGTCAATTTCAGGGTGCACAATTTCTTGAGGAGTCTCCTCTTCAAGTGCATCTGATAAATCACTGTTGAGAAAAAATCAAAATATTCATATTAAGAAAAATCACAATCAAGGTTAACCCTTTAATTCCCAAGATCGGATTGTTAATTTTCCCCTCTAACTGCGACATTTTTCTTCTAAATTAGTTACAAGATCCTGGTGTCAGAACAGGATTAAAACTTCTACCTGATAAGTTTGAGTATTCTCGTTTCCCTGTTTGCTAGATAATGTATGGAAATTATTTGACATGTTTTTCATGTGACATCGATCATCAAAATTAAAAAAATAAGGAAGAATTTAGTTATTAGAACAAATGAAGACTCATCTTACAAATTTTAAGTTTGATAGGGTTTTTTGTTTGGTGATAAAGGAAGTTGAATTTGGAAATGTTGGCCAAAGATGCTATCATGAAAATTGTAGGTTAAAAAAAGTGACATCCACTGAGATTTTGCAATCTGAACAGTCCTTGTGTGAGAATAAGTACTCAAGACATGTAGATGTTAATGAGCCCAAAGAAGATGACTGTTGGCCTTTTATAGCAAAACTCAATGACATGTTTTTGTTAATTTCTGGATGCCATATTTGTGCCCCTCAGAGGGACACTTACATGACATGGGGCTCTACATAAAGCCTTATAAATTTGAGTAAAACATTTTCTTTGAATATCTCCTGCACCAGTTATTGGACAGACTGACCTGACTCTTTGTGAGACCATTTGAACATAAAATTATTTCTTTTATCTCTTTGATCCTTGACTTTACTTGTTGAATGGTTTTGATGACAGTGTGATAGTGAAAACCAGCAAGACAGAGAAGTTACAGGTTAATCACTTCTGGGAATTAAAATTCTGATCAGGATTAGTGTTTTACTGTCAATCTATATAAATTATGACGTTACCTTACCTTAAGTCACATGTGGGTTGAGGCTGGGCCTCCACTGTTGACGTTTTTCCAAAACAGCGGTCACACACTCGTACTGGCCCCTCACCCCAACCTCGTTCTGGTACAGGTTTCTTATTAGTTGAACATCCATCGCAGACCCCACCCCCACAGGCACGACAGTGGTGCTTAGTCTCCCCATCCCTGAATATTTGACGGCATACCTGACAAGCCTGGACAATAAAGGAAAGTAAAAACATTTTTTAAACTAATTTGACTTTAAAAGTACTGGTTAAACTAAAATTTGGGGAAATATTAAGTGAGCTTGAAACTTCTTAATAGCGTGACTGGTTACATTTCCTGGTTTAGGTTGATTTAAAACAAGAATTATCTGGAGTAAAACAACACTACTGCTAAATATAGTAATAGGTAAAACAAAAAACTCGATAAAATTTTGCATTTTCAATGTGGAACAGATGGGTAACATTTAGTCTACTTTGACACCACTTACTATGAAGCTCTGCTAGGCTTTGCATGCATAAACAGAGGGGGTAATTAAGTTTCTAACAAAAGTTGAGGTACTGCATCAGTGGAGGGTATTACAAGTTAGACAAATTTGGTTTTATCATCAGAGTTGATAATTAAAAATAAATTGGCCACGGTGAAGGGTTTTTAATGTTGCCATTTTGAGCCTAAGCCCTCATCATGTATGACTGCTGTGTATGCAGAGACAGTTCCCAGCAAAATGAGATAAAGGTTCTTCTAACTTACAGTTATTTCAGAATTTGGGACCCAATAATCTGGGGCCACTTGGTCTGTGATCCAGTTGGTTACTGCCTGACTGGAAGGACTGCTGAGACTGCTAACTGCATCAGTGACATAACTGATATGATCCAAAAACCGTCTGGCCGCATTGCCACCATCCAGCTTAGCAAATGTTTGCTGAATACAAAAAGCATACTAATCTACAATTTTCATCCTTGTTTAAAACAGAGAGAGGGCCATTCACCATGCCCTGTCATGTTATAATAACTGATAGTTACAACAGGCTTTGTTGTGTAAAAGATATTTGACCACACCCAGATAACAAAGCGATATATCCTTATACTGTTTACAGTGTTACTGTTACGGCAATGAGCCCCTGATTATGAGATTCTTCCATTTGGTAAACAAAAAACAAAAAAAATTGGAAAACTGTCCTCCCAAAAAAAACTCTTCTGAAACTTAGCACAAATGGCTCTCTCTTTTAGGTAACCTATTCCTGTATCACAAACAAAGAACATTAAGAGAGAAATCCCTCCCTTTCCTTCCTTTAAATGAAAAACCTTTAATCTATTGCACCTGTGTGGTATTAACCCATAGAAAATTGAAATGTGTTGTGTTTTGTTTTAACTTTATTTTATAATTGCCATGGACCATATTCTCTATTGCTCTCCTGGCATAATGACCCTCTTGGAATTTCAGGAATACTCAAAAAGTTTATACATCACCTGCCTCCAACTTGTGATTTACAAATTTTTCTTGTGTTCCCCTGACATCCCGCATAGGTTAGTAGGCTGATAGACCAATCGTAAGTGTGGTTTAAATTTTTTTCTTAATATAAAAAATAGGAGACTGTTTCTCCAAGCACTGTTGCAGATTTTCATGAATCATTGGGAAAAAAGGGGCTGGATTTGTCGTAAAGCCTAATCTCACCCCAGGCCATGCATGGCGAAGCTCAGTCCTAACCACAGTCTTAACTGGGTCCTCATTTCCAAACCAGTACTGGCGGCTACGGTAGATGACACCACATTCTGGGCACTCCAGAACATATCTGCCGATAACATTTAGCGAAAAGGAGATTGCAGTGTAAACTAATTTAGTGGTAAAGCTCCTTTAATTCTCCCCTCAGAATGCTTGGATTTACCTCTATCAGAACTACTTTGACATATAATAATATGAGAATAATAATTAAAGTAATGATGATAATAATAATATAATTATTATAATTGTAGTCAACATTGTTGTGATGAAAGTGTGGAATATCCTATCCTTTTCAATTCCTTGCTAAATCATTGTGTTTTTGAAGCACCAGAATTCGAAGTGGAAATAAATCTAGAGGAAAACAGACTTCCTAAATATTTATCAATAATTATTTTAGTAATTGCAAGTGCTTACCCTGACCAGGCATATTTAGCAAGTCCAAGCCAAGATGAATCATTGGAGGAGCACATTTTTGGAACAACCAAATTCTGTTTTCCCCTCTCATAACAGGCCTTTATTAAAACAAAAACAAACAAACAAAAAAACACAGTAAGGGAACCGCATGCATGCCACACCTGCTGTTTATTTCTGATAAAATTAATCTTATTCATTAAATTATACAATCATGTAACCATATCATGCCCTAAGAGGATACCACATGCACAAACTAGTGCGACTACAGTGACAGAGAGTAATGTACTCTCATTAATAGGTCAGAAATCAATAATTATGACTGCATATAGTACTACATTAACCCTATCAATTCCAAGATCTCCATTTAGTAATTCTTCTCACTGTCTGCCATAATAATAATTCTTGTGGTTTTAAATTTGACAATTTGGTATTGGACCAACTAATAATTCGGATCCCTAATTGATATTTTTCTTTATTCTCCACACTAGTCAGCTTGATCTTTTGTAGTGTCAGTATTGATAAAGTAAGGAGGAGTTCTGTCTTGGTCATGTGTGGGTCAATCACTCCTGGAAGTTAAAGGATTAACCCTGGTAAAGAAAGCTTGTTGTATAAATTAAAACTCCCAAGAGTCTCTCATAGTCATGAGAATGGAAAAGTATGCATACGGTGTATATAGTTATTATGTGCTTGTCACATATTCACAGAATATTCATGGGTCATGACTTGTTGCATCCCATTAAAAACTAGACTAAGAATTTTAAAACCATGAATTTTTTTTTTTTTTTTGACATGAAATTCATGGGTTTTCAGTACCTTTAAAAAGGTCATGAAATGCCATTTCCATGGCTATTTTATGGCATCTAGGTCACCTTACACAATATTTCATGAGTTGTGAATGTTAAAATTTTCACTGGTTTTTCATGGAATTTTTTACGTCTTTTTCATAGCACTGAGACCATGAAAATGCTATTAATTTAACCATGAAAATCCTGTGAAAAATCTGTGAATTTCCCAAGAATAATTTCACAAGATATTTAAAGGAATTAGATTTCATAGTGAGCTCACCCTACAAGTAAAAATCCTGTTGTCAAACTGGGCTTGATAGCGACATCTGACATCACTGTGGTGTGCTGATGATTCCTCATTCTCGTGTTTCATGCTCTTTTGACAGCGTGCTCTAGAAGTATTAAAACCAAATAAGTTTGTTCCATAAGTAAACATCATGATAATCATGTTAGAAAGCACTGAGAAATCTTGTAAGTAAGTAAGTTTGCCCAAAGTCAACAATGAGCTAAATGAACACATTTCCAGAAGACAATAAATTCAAAGCTTGTAGAGATAAACTAGTCTTACACACCAAATGCAAATATGGCATCCAATTTGAGTCGCCATTGTTCTGGACTCACTAGCCTCTCACACATGTAATAATCCTTTTGTGTTTCCACGTGAAGACGAGGTTAGTGAGTCCAGAACAATGGCAACTCAAATTGGATGCCCTATTTGCATTTGGTGTATACTAAGTATGTACTACATATTCCATATACTGTTCTCTGTACATTTCCAGTCAAATTATGTACTAACAAGAACAATTTATTTGAGGATCAAGAGCTTCTTAATCAAGTTGGCAATCTTTTCATTTATTCCCATGACCTTCATGATTGTTCAACTCAGCTGTGGTATCATTAGGAGATATCAGACGCTTGCCACTCTATTAGGGGGTTAGGGGTTACAACATTCAACTGACATTATTAATCTTCTGAATCAGTAGACTCTGATGATGTCGACCTTTGCAATGCATGATCGTGTCAGGTACTGTCACAGACAGCACCACTACTCTTTGCTGGACATGTACAGTTAGCCTACACCATTGACAAAAATTACAGTCATTAGTAACAACAAATTTTGTTGTATAAGGTGGTAACCATAAACCTTGTGCTTACTGGCATGAGAGGCACGCTGCCTGGCAAGTGAAATATTCGTCAGGGAAAGTGTTTGGTATTGTTCTTTCAATGTCCCCACTGAACTTCTCATTTAGGAGCTGATGAAAAGGAAAGGAGAGAAACTTGGATGTAAAAAAATTAGTAACACAATGATCATAATTACAGTTATTGACCAACCCTTCCCCCCTCCCCATCTAATAATTAGTCCCTTTACAGATTTCAGAGGAAGGACACAAACAGGTACATGTTATTGAATATAACACTCATTACTCACTGCGTTTAACACTCCTTTACTTACTGGCCCTTACCTCCTTTAGGTCTAGTTAGTTTAAATAATAATTTCTGAGAACCTTTTTTCATTGCACTTCTCTCAGTTAACTTTAACATTCAGCCTACTAATTGTATACCTGTACAAGAAACACTTCCCTCAGCTATAAGGCCATAGGTATTTCACCTGCATTAGGCCTTCAGCAATTCCAGCATTATCACCTGGTTACTTAAACAGATCAGACTTTAAACCTGCAGAGCTCCATTGACACTAATGGTAGCTAACTAGCCACAGACTAGAAGAAATTCAGTTTTGTCTGGCGGTTTTTTATTTCCACCAGTGAGTTTGGCTAGTAAACAAACTGAAATTATCGTAGTATCTAAGTTGTCACTAGCCACTTGGCTAGTAAATTGAAAAGTTAGTGTAAATTAATTTAAAGCCCTGACCTATGATGAGAATCTAATGATCAACAATTCCAAATAAATTCAGTTCTGTCTAGTAACTGCTAACTGGACCCAAGCACATGCTGGCAAAGAATATGACAAAGAATTTCAACTGGATTCAATTTGGTTTGTTGGTCATTTTCATGTAAGCGACCACAGTTAATGTGGTCTTAGTTTTTCCCAGACTAACGAGTGCAATTGACCTGTATCGTTGAATTCTTTACATCCTGACATCAGCATGCATATTCTTCATACTATTCACTACAAGTTTCCAAAGGTGCTAACAAGGAGAATTTGTTAATAATCAGGAGCTCCTTTACTTTAAGATCATTTTCTTAATTCTTGTGACCTTAATGTGTGATTTGGGTGTGATTAGCTGTCAAAGACTGTTAACTAATCTAGAGAAATTACCATCAAAGCTTTATAAATGACAGTAGGTGATCGTGACGAGCGCACAGAGCTGTCCCCTAAACATCCCTTTACAGCTTGCTTCAATCCCTTGAAGTTTGTTGGTGGAGTCTCTGTCCTTGTTCCTAGGTACTTGATAGAACTAAATGCATGAGGAACTCTTCCTACATTTGCAAATCTCTCCTTTAAAATCTCATCAGGACTCTTCAGATTTTCTGTTACAGAAGGAAAATTAAAAAAAAAAAGAATTTTTGAGTGGCAGAATATAAAATCAGGAGTATAATTCAATCTTTAGAACTACTTCAGATTCAAAAAGAAATTCAAAATCAATTGACATACTGTATTTCCTTGAATAATTAAGTGCTCTATAATAAACATTACTGTCCCCGGGGCCCCTCTCTCAAACTCTCACTACCTTAAATAATAGGGATACATGATGGAAAACCTATTTCTACTGTGCCCCTTTTATCTATAACTTTTTAACCTTCAGCTATAGTGGAATCTGTACAGGAGAGTAAAATAAGCACCACCCTCTATTAACCTCCATCCTTCTTCCATAAGTGCCCCTCCACTTAATTTAATTTAGCAAAAATTTGAAGCACCCAGGGCTCGAAACTAACTTTTTAACTTACTAGCCAAGTGGTTAATGACAACTTAGATGTTACAACAATTTCAGTTTGTTTACTGGCCAAACTGGCTGGTGAAAATTGAAAACCACTTGCCAATTGAAAACTGAATTTCTGCTAGTCTGTGGCTAGTAATGGCTGGTCTGTCAGTGTCAAGCCCTGGCACCTGTAGGCACTTATTAGAGAAATTACAGTATTTATCAACTGATTTCAAAGCTGCAAAATTATCCAAACCTGATGGATTTGCCTCATTCTCTGACACTCCTAGTAAATGGGTATGCTGTGTCTCATGAAAGATGATCACAGCTGGACCAAGATTGCATAGGGGCACATCCATGTGGCATCGTTCTGTAGCATCTTTCAGCTCCTTGGTGAAATGTTTTAGATAGGCATCTGATGCATCCCCCAAGAAAGTAAACATGTCTGTGTGGAGCCTTTCAGCTCTTGTCCTATAGATGATAATGTCAGATATTGCTAGGACCTTCAGTAATAGCCTTGTACGTTGGTTCTGATTGCCTGACATACCCAATAGCCCTTCGGTATCCAAGACAACCACCCGACTACCCTCATCATAGGCAGCCCAAACACCAACTGTGCAGGAGAGCTGAGATGGTGAAGTCCCAAATACTTCTTTGCCACAGAAGAAGACATGGTTAAGGGTGTGTGATTTTCCATCACCTGTGTTACCAAATATGGATACAACTTTCATGCTGGTGTCGCCATGACAGGACAACTTAGCAATGAAGTCCTCTACTGTATGCACCTGAAGGAGAGAGTGGTGACCATGGTAATTATTAACAAAATAATTAATTAAAATAATTTATGTACATGACTGTATAAACACTAAAAATCTGATACCAAAGGCATTTACCATAATTATCAAAACTAATACAATATAAGACAGTGATTGATAACACACAATTATTTATTTAAATATTTTAAATATTTTAAACTTTTTACGTTTGCCACCTTCGTACGGTATAAATTAACTATTCATTTTTATTCTCTTCTCACTTGAGAATGATGACATGGAGTCATCGAAACGTTGTGTGTTTTTCTCGCTAGTGTTTATTCTTAAATTGATAACTTACTTTTAAATAACCTTTGTGTAACAAATACTATAATTAATATTATAAAAATAATAAATATTAATAATAAATTAGCAGGCTACAGAGTATATACAAGCAGTAAACATATTATGCATATGAAAATGAACTAATCAGAATAAGCATGCTAATAGTACTGATCTAACAATGATATGCCTATTCAGGGTTGTTAGTGACATCTGGCCGCTTTTGAACATGTACATGACTATGACTGCTCAGGTATTAAATTCCAAGTTGTCAAGTATTAAAATAAGCTCTTTTATCCTAAACTCATCATTACACTTTCCTTAAA